CACTGTAGTGCAGCGAGCGCATCTGTAGAATAGTCCTGGTATTTTCTGATAGTCCTGTGGAAGCGATGTTGGCAGGCAAGTCATATGATTGTGAGTACCACAAATCGCACATCGGACTGCCTCCTTGTGGCGACTGATCGTGCCGGAGCATATTGTACAAGTGTCGGGCATCACACAAAAACTGGTCCGCTCAAAAAAGTCGAACAAAAACTCTAGTCTCGAACTGCCGATATATTAACATATACACGTTATGTCGTGATTATATCAACACGGTTGAACTTTCCAAGTATCGGATTGCACAGTTAGGTGGCGAAAATTGTTTTATAAAACTCACGAAAGTCTCACTTGAATCGCCTAACTTGTTACCACAAAAAACCACGAATTTAGCGGAGCGAACAAAAGCGTGTCTATACAGAACGATATTCTTCGATAAAAAAATGGCTATCATGCCTCCTGGAGATTTATGTACTAAACAGATTTATAAACAGGACTTAACTACAGAAACCTGAATGAATACAACTTTATTAGGAATTGGGTATAATTATTATCATTCTTGGGTGTTTAAAAATGAGGGGCATTATGCATGTACGATTTCTGTCTGCGAAAAATGGTAATTTCTTAAGAAGTTCTGAGACTTTATTCTTTATTTTCATTACAATCATTTTCCGGAAGAGAAACAAACATTTTCGAAAAAATTCAACTCAATAGTTTGATGAAATTCAATGACTCTGATGTGAATGGATATCAGATACTCCAGGGACACGAATAGGATAACCTAGGGATGTACCGGGCGGGTTGTCCACTGGACAACCACTGCAGGACATCCCCTGGATGTCCCAATCATGTCCTTGTGCCGCGGGACAAAAAAGGGACGTACCTAGGAAATTCCTGTGTTGTTAGGGATCTGTCCTCGTTTGACGCATATAGCAGAGAGACAATTATATACACGGAGTGCGCACTACTGCGCACCTCTCATCAGTAAATATCTAATCAATAAATTTCAAAAGTACCAAAATTGAGCTGAATGTACTGTACTGAATTGGATGGGTATAGAAAATATAAAGACTGGATTTTCCCAGTGAGATCACAAATATGCATTTTCAATATTTTGTTGTAACATATCAATTCTGATACAAATAGGAAATAGATTTCAAGATATACATCAGGGATATGAATGGGACAACTCAGGGATGTCCCAGTCGATATTACACGAAAAATAGGTATACTGTTTTTTCTCACCAATTTTTATCAGTGAATTTAGGTTCCTAAGAATCTGATACCATCAATATTTGGCAGCTTATCGAGAAAGATATCGCTCCACTCCTCTCTCTTCTCAGCAACGTTGGGAATTTAACAATATGAACATGTTTCTCTGGTTTTATTCGTATTTCAATGGCATTTTCACACGAACAAGTTATCGATACCCTATGCGAAAACAATCTTGCTAGCAAAATTCCCTAGAGAAACTTTTCATCCCGTACGTACAAATTGAACAACGTGTAGTCTACAAGTGAATGGTTCATATTATATATTATTCCATGTAATTTGGGACTAGCTATGAATAAGTGAGCGATGTGCATTGATTCGCGATACTCTCTTCTTGATTGGACATTGAAAAACGAACCAAGAAATATGTTGTTTTTATAGGGGCTCAACGTTAGTTCTGCTGCTTTATTGTTTCATTGACAATCACAAACAAGTAACATAACGGGAAATATAACTTCAATTGAAACGTCCTGTTGATCAGTAGATATTTTGATGTGATTTCCTGAAATCATCAGAATGATGAATTTCAATTCAACATGGTCTGTAATAATAATAATAATAATGATAATAATAATATCAATAATAATAATGTTTATTCGATCACAGTTACATTTGAGTTTTACCAAAGAGAAAAATAATCTTCGAACATATTATAAATTGGAACATATATTTACATCCGAAAAGCTAAACCATACGAATGAACAAAGACATACCACTAAGGCAGAGCCAGCGCGTGGTCTAAAATGTCTATATATATGTAAAATATACAATTCCGGTTCTATTATCTTATGGATACATCTCCTGTCGTCTGTTCCAAGTTGATAGTTCTTTATGTTTCTTTCAAATGATGAGCTCGATGGCGATTTCTTTATGTTCTTGAAGATACTCTTGAATACTTTTGTACTAAGGTAGGTAAATCCTCTTTGGTCAATTGTTTTGAATGAGTACTCAGTGCGAAACAAGTTTTTTCGTTTTGCCCTAGTATCATAACTATGATCAATGAGCCTCAAATTTCTTCTATTTTTGATTTGATATATTGAGGTACGTAAAAAATAAAACTGTCCAAGGTCTAATATTCTACTATCAAAAAATATTAGGTCTAAGGGGTAGGTCAATTTCTTATTGAAACAGATCTCGAGGATTTTTTGTAGAAAGACCAGGAATGCTTAGTGACTACTGACAACACCTCTCCAACCAAAGATATAATTAATTTGATATTATCCCCATTGAACATAAAATAATCAAGAGTTATCAAACATCAGAACCCTATCTCCTCAAATTAACGATATAGAGAAAAATATCTCTGATTGTTCGAGTACTATCAACTTTATCTGTTGCTGGTGAACAGAATATGGTGAAGCCAAACTTTCGTGGATTGAGACAATAAATGGCAAAACGGCAAATACAACACCCTCATGAAATAAATCGCAGATTCCATAATTACTTATATTGAGAAATACCTATGGTCGAGCTACCGTTATAACTGAATCTGAATTTAAGTCTGGGCAAAGATTATTTGATTCAAGTCCTCTATTGTATATGTTTCAGAGCCGATCAAGTGTAATAACTGTTCGTCTGAAATTTGAGAGGTTTTCAATCTCCTTAACTCTGCTAGGAAGCACATTATAAAATTCTACACATTTATAAAAACTGCCTTTCTCAAGAAGAGTGGTCTTGTCTAGAGGAAAGGTAAGATTATCTTCGTGTCTTGTATCATAGATAATGCACCATGGAATGACTGCTCATTTTTGAAAACAAAGTTTACACATTCAGAAAAAAAACATACCGGGTGGAGTTAACAAATTCGATGATTTGAATTTTTCTCTACAAGATTCATCTATTTTGAGATTTCCTAGAATTCTAATAATTCTTTTTTGCATACTGAAGACTTCTTGACCGTGTAAACCACCCCAAAAAACGGTTCCGTAAGACATAATCGAGTGAAATTGACCAAAGTAGACTGTTCTAAAAATTTCAGGATCAACAACCTTTCTCCGCCTTTTTCAGTTCATTGAGTGCTTAACAAATTCTATGCTAAGTCTACCACACAGTTGTTCCTCATGTTTCGACCAACCCATGTTTTCATCAATGGTAATACCAAGAGAGTTTGTTTTGCTAGCAATATGATATCTGTATGTCATAAAGATTGATAGAGTGTGGAAACACTGAAATTATTTTGTCATGCTGCAAAAGAATACAGTTCGTTTTGGATGTATTTAAAACTAGAGCATTGTTGGGAAACCAATTCGCTATGATTTCTGTGGTGTTTGGGCCAAATCTCAAATTTCTCTTATGTTAATTATATTTGTATAATCTGGTAACAACGCTTAGTAGTTGATTCATTACCACAGGTATTCCTAACTCAAAGGTTTCAAAAGTGGGTATAACTCATATGAAAAGGACATAATCAAAATTTTTCAAAATGTCCTGCTGTTCCTATTCCTTCCGTTATCTTCATCTATAATAAGAAGCCGTTGATCATCACGTTCCGGAATTTTGAGTGAGTCATTTTTCAATTCATTATTAATCATTATGAATAACATTCCCTATGTAACACTGTCACAGATTAACAAAAAGGTTTGTAAATCTGTGACACTGTGGCCTTATTAGGTTTGTCACACAATAGGTTATGATCTTTATCTATTATAAGCGAGTTAGTGTCATCGGCATGTTAAAGTAATGGTCATCATAATGTTTCACAAATCATTCACATATAGGATAAACAGGATCGGACCAAGTACGCTCCCCTGCGGTACACCCATATGAATTGTTTCCTCGTCTGAAATTGTATTATGCCTCACACAAACTGTTTGTACTCTGTTTGAGAGATAGGATGTGAACCAGTCATGTGCTACTTCTCGAATACCCATTTCATATAGCTTGCTGAGAAGAATTTGATGGTTCACACAGTCGAAGGCCTTCGACAGATCTAGAAATTCACCATGAGCAATACAGGCATTGTTCAAATAACGGAGGATCCTCTCAATGGAAGTAAAAATGGCAGTTGTGGTAGATTGTCCCTTCTGGAATCCATACTGATTATTTTCAATCTCTCTATTTGCACTCAAAAATAGAATGAATCTTCTGCACATGCTGATTTTTAACAACTCAGAAAAACATGAGAGTAATTTGATAGTGTAACACCCTCATTTTTGAACAATGGTCTAACAACTGCAACCTTCAGCTTTGTATGAAAGATGCCTCTTCTAAACGATTCATTCAGAATAAAAGTTATAGGTTCTCATATAATATATTGACTCATATATTCTTCAGTAAAACATTACTTATTTCATCATCTCCTAATGAATACTTGTTCTTCATACTATTTATCACTTCTAAGACACCATTTTGGGTTATCTCTGATAGGTAGATCGTGTTGAGACATTCTGGTACAACGTTGATGTTGAAATTATTTGCAGTGTTATCACCTATGAGACGAGAGGCAGAAGTTAGAGAATAATCATTGAATATATTACTAGCGACACTTGGTTGTGTTACCAGCTCATTGTTAGTTTTCATTTCATTGAACGAGTTATTTCTGTTTTTGTATTTTCCTGGTTCAGTTCCTAGTGATAATGATGATGATAATAATAATAATGATGTTCATTCATCAGGTAATTCTCAGTTCACAATCGAATTGAATGCCAATTTACAATTATAAATGTTATGTGAGTATATTTTGAATATATAAAACAAACATCTATGAACCATCAAACCTTTGAGGTTGTGAATGGATGGATCTATGTCGGATAGAATCGAATAGAGAGTGAGTTGGGAGACAATAATTGCATATAAATAGGTATGTTAAAATATTGATAAATATATCAACATATATCAAAACAATAGTAACAATAACAACAATAACATTTATAATCATATAAGTGAACATTTGGATCACTGAATCATAATTCTTCTCATTTAACTTGAATAAAATGTATTTAGAATATAACACTTCCGGATTGCATCATTATATTTCTAACAAGTATTCAACTGTACTTAATATGTTGAAGCAAGTATAAAATATGTAGATATTGTTCGTAAATTTGTGGTAAGTGGTTTGAAATCTTTTTACTTTCGCACATAAAACTTTGCTGCCCTATGAATTTCATTGTTTGAACTGTCTCTACATAATATTTCGATTTGTTTCTTGTTTTATATAAGTGATTCATATTTTGTAAGGATTTCTTGTTCTTGTCATACATGTATAGCTTCCTCAAATTCATAATTTTGACATCAGTGAATACTAATTTTGACGAGTCATCGTTTCAGAATGCTCTTCTGTAGGATATCTTATTTCTGTAGATGTGTATAGAGAGATCCACCCCAGATGAGTATTGCATACTGCAAGCGAGATTCAACAAGGCCAAAATACACGATTTCCGGATACTTGATCCCTAATATATTGTCGCAACTCAAATATTGACCGTCCTATAGGTCGTGACTTAGCTACTCGCTTGGCTTTTTGACGAGGGGTTTTGATCATTTCACTATCCAACAATATTCATCCACAAATAAAGACACCGGACAGTTTTCATATAAAATTAACATTCATTGATTAAATGCAGAGGTAATGAGTAAATGCTGCCACATGGCAGGTTAACAAAGAAAAAAGAACATAATGGCTTGCCAAATAAACACAACGCAAAACAACACTTGGAAAAAAACAGTACTCACATTATAACGTCCAGCAGGGGATTGACCAGCAGACTTGAGGTTGGGGAGACGGCGAACATTTTCAATTGATGATCACTAAATGACTTGTGTTGATAATGAATGATGCCTTGTCGACTCAGTTACTATTTATATTCGGAATCGATGATAGGTTCGCCATTTTCCTCAATGGGAATGGTTGTTACCTTTCGATACTGCTTAACTGTAGGTATTATCGCGTTTTTTTTTTGCAAATTATAAAGGAACTGACGTCTATGAACTCCGCTGACCTGATCAAAACTACAATGTACTGAATGTTTCAATTTGGGAAAGGTAATTTTTGATGAAAGATCTTGAAATGAACCAGAGTTTGAGTGATGTTTATTCATAGGCATTTGTACTTCTGCACAATATTATATAATAATTATAATGATACTATTGAATGACTCAAATATTCTCAGACTACTAAGTCGCAATGTCCCCTCTTGAGATGATTTCAGGAAAATTATTCTTTTCTCATTTGTGTTCACGATGAGATATCGTCACTGAAAATTCCCCTCGAGACAAAATTTCAGCTGGACGACATATTTTGCTATAAAATGTTCAGCTCGATCCGTTTCGCCTATTCCCTATTGTGAACACTCTCTGGCACTTTCATTATTTGACGATGATAAATATTTCACAGCAATTTTCTATTTCAGTTGTATACACGGCGACTACGTGAAAGTGTTCATGCACTTGGATAGCGCCGCCGTGAACGAATACACCCCGTGGGAGACGTTGCTGTGCGGGAAACTCGGAGAAATTCCCACCATGCTGTATTCCTCCGGTCCCGGACTGGTCCTGGAATTCCACTCCAGTTTGCACACCGGCAATTCGAGTGGCTTTTCCGGCACCTTCAGATTTATCGATAAAAGTAAGCGAGAATCCGTTTGAGCTCGGTTCTTTTTGTCTTATAGCTTATCTCATGAAGAGTGGGTCATGATCTTCTTCTCAACCCATTAGTGCATAAAGTTCACAGTTAGAGCAAAAACACATTTTTTGAAGAAGGTTAGTTGATACTGTTCGAAGTAATACAAATAACAAACACAGGTATAAAAAAATATATTTTTACGAAAATACAAATCATCCGATATAACGGATTATATGCCAGAGGAACTTGCAGTAAGAGAGTATGGTAATTTTCGGAAAACGATTTCTGATGCAGTCCGATTGCACATTCAGTGCGAACAAATTTGCTTTTTCTATACTACAGAACCTGCACAGTCTTTCAGTTGGTACGCATTCCGGCCAATGATCTCTTCTGTCATATCTACTATCATTTATAGGATTTTGAATTCTCCATCCTCTATCAGAGGGTGTACCATTTGTTTCAAGCAATGAATTAGCAAGGTTCCTTCGGAAAATTAGCAGTGTGGAACATCATTCATTTAGTGTATCTAACCTTCTTACTAGCACATATAGGTTTCCCCTCATGTTTTGTTTTGCGTAATGCCGGGCATAGTAGGAAATCATGGAGTCATATATTGAAAGATTTACTTCAAGGCCACCATGATATTTGGAGTTTTTATTGAGTTCGGTATCGGATCAAGGGCCGCAGTTCGTAAAGCCGGTCTCCTGGATCCATTCTATGATCATCATTTAAATCAATGTGTCTCAATATATGTTAAAATCTATCGAGTGTGATACTGTCCTGAAGTATTTTTCGAGTTCAACCAAGAGTTGCGCGAGCGACAATCTGAAACAGAGAGAAATAACAACATAAACTATGCACCCGCTTACAAATACTTGATAACAGTTAACTAGCGAAATATCTACATGAGAGCACTTTTTGCATACAATCCGATATATCGGATTCTCAAAATAAGTAATTAAAATTCCACTGCTGAAACTATTGCATGTTGAATTCACACAGGAACTCATTCACTCATATATTTTTGATGTGTTTTCATGCCAAATAATATTTCCTATCCGTTTGTGAATAAGTAATTATAAATTGACTTACCCGCCGCCACTTTGCTTATACGATGTCAAGTCCATATAATCCTTACAAACATCACCCTCAGATATTTTCCAGCAAATCTAGTGGTTTTTTGTGTATGTATGGTTCACAGCACGAACAATGTTCAAAATCCTGTTTAGATTCGCTTAATGCGCAAGGAAATGGTCATCCGATTAATCGGATCAGATGCACTAATGATCTAACACGTTGACGTACATTCATTTCCATGATGAATGACTATCTTATACGATACATTACACCCCTGAACAAAGACTCAGGTACCTCATAACTATCGAGAGGCTACTCTGCCTTACTAGAGTTCTGAGAATGAACTTCATACTGAAGAGTTCAGTCCCCTCAATGGTCAGATTGCCTAGAAAATAACATTGATGGATTATTATCGAATAGAATGTGTAGCACACACTCACTCGAGTGTCAGTGGGGTTTGTTTTCTCTATAACCTACAAAGGTATCTCAGGTTCCCTTCACCAGACCTTGAACTCCCTTACTTCAGTTGGGAGTTTTGAGAGGTTAGGTTATGTCAGCTCTTCACAATATTTCAACTCGTTCTCGATAGCTCGGCTGTGGATTGAAAGAGATGATTGTGGAGATATTTTCAACTGTAGAAAGTATTTTGTCCATATGCGTTTGTATCCACAAATATCAATATTCCGTAGAACGGAGTGATTTCAAAACGTATATGAAATATGCCCACGACAAAACTCAGAACGTATCAAAATATTGATTTTATATTCGCAGAATGAATCCTCAAGACAAATGAATCAATTAATCATAATCATCTGCGCTTATGAACTAAACGAACACCTTCCATCAGTATATGCAAATGATCGACGCAACATGTGACTAAGTGACAAAAAGTCTTTGTCAAACCTGTCGAAGTCTCAATGTCAACTGGTTTTCTTCTGACAGTAGTTTTCTAGGTTCGTTCCACTGAAGTGCAGCTGCATTTGTATAAACTCCAAAATGACTCTTCGAATCCAAATGTCCATACACTTCAATTTGCTGCTGTCATTCAATTTATCGAGTGAGAATACGCTTGTATGTAGGCAGGTGCACAAACTTAGGGATTCTTACTATTAACAGACTTGTCAATTCTGGTTCTGGCTTCCGTTCGATGTCGCGGCGACTAATAAACTAAACTCCGCAGCCTCAGCTCCTCTACTATTCATATGAGCTGATTCGCATGACGTTCACACAGGATGACGCTGAAGAGCTCATCGACGGCAGAATAGGTCGAGGAATAATACTCAAATAAATAACGCTGCGCCGCCAACAAATTATAGAAACTATGGTGGAAATAAACCGTACCAAATAGATAACTTATGAGTTTATCGTGCGCTCAAAAAGGTATAAAAACCATCCCCTTGAATGATAGCGGTTCCACATAAGTTCTTATAATGTGATTCCTTTTCCACTGAATGAATAACAAAAATAAATCTCTATTTTCAAATAGTTATTCTGACTGAGTTCCTACTCCATCCAGTCCAGTAGTTTGCCTGATTTAACCTTTCTGATTTGGGATTCACTTTCGTGCGCTCCAAGAGATAGAAAAAGAGTAAAGCAGATACAAACCCATGTCTTACGTTTGAGATACACAGGGTTATTCAAACTAGGTCTTTCGTCATTGGTTACTTCCCAAATTCTGAAACTACGGAATCAGTTGAAATACCAAATTATTGGCATTTTTTGCTGATTACAATCGTGAGAAGACAAGAATCAATTGAGCATTACGCTCTTGGGATATGAATTGAAACAATAATATTCTTCAATAACACCCTTCAAATTTGTACCTGATTGAATTTCACTCGGAATCAAAAAATTTGTTCATGTGGAAATTTTCGAAATTTTGACAGTTGATAATTGGGGAACTCATCCTAACAATTTTGAAAACTAATGAAATTGGCGAATTATACTTGCCAATACCTCATGAATAGTCGCACAATGATCTCTAGGGTATGCAAAATAGTGATAGTTTCAACTTGAATTCGAAGAGATTGGTACGTGTATACAGGAGTGTTGCATAAAGAAATTGTTTTGATTGAATTTTGAGAACCCTGTGTAGGGTGACGAATGGTAATGCGTCGAGTCGACAAAGTCAATCTCACAATGATCACTCATGGGTAGTCTGAGAACCTCACGTAGTGGACATCCTGAAAATCAGGACCAAAATATAAAATGTTTGCACCTATCAATTTGTCTTTCTGAGATATAATACTATTTCAATTGCAATTTCATTTCAATGTATTCAGAGAGAGAGAGAGAACAATTTTAGAACAATTTTAAAGAATTTACAATAGGTTCATAAAAAATTTGATGAGATCCTACAATTCGAGCTAATTAGAAAAGTTATTGCACATAGATCACAAGCAATCGGTATATGCAAGAATCTATGTTATATATGTCAAATATTACAAACTCCAATTTATGTAGGGAGAGTTAAAAACATCTCTTTCTAATTTTGCAGATTCGTCAAAAACTCCTCAATATGGATATTGATTGAGCTGAGTATTCGAAACAACATTCAATGACATACGAAGGGATTTATATCTCAGTACCGCAAAGAATTCTTTGTTCTTATGATACAGATATTTAAATACCTGACTATTATTCAGATTTATGTTGATGAGCTGTCTATTTGTCTCAACTACTTCAACAGATCGCTTGCAATATCTCTGTGAGTTATGTCAAAATATTTCAAGGATACTATGATGAGCATGATGATTCAATTGGAATAATAATTTTTGTGGTGAACTGAAATACAATCACCTGTTTGTTGAAGTAGATGATTTTTATACCTTCGTCAAGTGTTATTCATAACTGATAACGAATTTATTTGAGAAATTTAACAAATTTTGGTGGGAGGTATTTAATGGTGAGTATGTTTTCGAACTTATGAACATAAGTGAACTTACTGATATATGATGTTCCAAAAATAACATGAAAAATTGATTTTTCATAGTATCAAGAACACTCAGGCAATAGACCAAAATTTTCAATTTTCGACATACGAAATGATTTTTGTTTTCGTTAAAAAATAGGGCCAAAAATCCACTTGTTTGATTCTGGTTTTGAATTTTTTATCTACGTGATTTTTCCGAGTCCAATGAGTGAGTCTCAGGACCCAATATATTCCAAACTGAAGCATGGAGCACTATCATCAATGGTTTTTCAGATTCACCTTCATGTACTTTACTCACATACAAGTTGGTTCCTCTCATCGCGGACCACCATGTATAATGAAATAAGTTATACTTCATCCTTTATGATGATTCTCTCATGATGTTTGTCTAATAGGACAATTTATTTCTTGAAACATTCCTTTTTTGTATGACTTTCAGTCGAGAATTATAAATTTGGTCGAGTTTTGACTATTTGTTTGATTATATTTGGGACATACGACGAAGAAAATATGGAAGACAATGATTTGTCATATATCATTGCAATGAAAATTCCGAAAGACTATGAATTATTCAGATCAAATATCGAATTTCAGAATGAGTCAACGAATACGCCGGTTGCAACAGATAATGAATATAACATTTTCGGAATATTGTTCCGTGCACTCCCAGAGATAAAAATAACGGCGCACTTCACATCAATATTCGAGCATTTGAAAAGTATACAATATCCTTTTTCATCTTTACTCTCCTTTTCGAACAACAGCACACCATTTTATGATAAGGACATTGCCGATTAGGTATATTTACAAACAAAATACATACTGATTTCGTTTCGAAGTTCACATGTGTTTTTAGGTTCAACATTCCCAAATAGGTATGTCGTTAGGTGATTATTTGATGAATTATATTGATCGGAACTTTTCTATGAATCAGGGATCATAGTATTATCCCCAATAAACCCTCAGTATTTATTTGAACATAATACAACAATAT